GGTTGTTAACCAATGTCATAAAACAACATGTGTACTACTGTTTCATGAGAAACTATTTGTTCTGTAAGCCTTCACCTGAAGTATAATAAAATATTGACAATCAGAAAACAATACAAATACATAATTAAATCAGAAGGTTGAATAAAGGAAGTACCAATAGAAATGTCCAGTGAAACTAGAGGGATCCGGAGAAATCAAAGTTTGCATTCAGTTACAGGATTTAGTAAAGGATGAAATAACACTTGGTGAATGGGTTGGAGATCTTAAGACAGGGAGGAAGGAGCAAATAAACGTATATACCTGCACATAAAAATGGAGAAGCTTTAAGATCATTTGAGGAACAATAATTAATTAAATTTGTCTCTCTCAGAGGAAATAGCGGTAGAAGATGAGGACAAATTGCCAGCTAGAGGGCATACTGAGTAGGACCTGAAATATGAGGGCTTTCTAATGAGTTCCAAAGACAATTAGGGGTTAATGAAAGTTTCTTAAAATGAAGGATCTACTGTAAGCCTCTTGCTAAAGGGAACCATATCTTATTCATCTCTTTGTTCCAGCCCCCTAGTACAATGCCTCATATTAAATGCCTGTGGGATAAAACATGTATGTTTCATCAGTGAATGGATGAGAAGACATGTACCTCAGGAATATTAATCTACTAGTGGTGTGTTGGATGAGCTGGAGGGAGATTATCACACCACTTGCATAATTACGATTATTGTTATCACACCATGCTGTTAGTTAATACTTAGTGGGAACTTTACTCTGCCCCGTCTGTGTCAAGCACTGTATAAGCCTATCTCAACAAATATTCACATCAACCTTGTAAAGTATAATTTTTAATCCCATTTAACAGAAAATGCAACTGTATTCAGAGTTCTAGTAATTGATCCAAAGTCTTGGAAAAAAGCTAGTAAGTGGTAGAGCAAAGATCCAAACCCAGGTCCCAAACCAAACCGAACCCATTGCTGTCGAGTTGATTCCGACTCATAGTGACCCTATAGGACAGAGTAGAACTGCTCCATAACGATAAGAAGGTACCTTTGAGGAAGAGAGATGAGATAGTGACAGGAGAGAGGGCACAAGGGTGCTTCCATGGAGCCTGGGTATTTATTTTGTAATAATTCACTGAACCAAATACATACACCTTGGGCATTTTTCCCAATGTGTTTTATTGCAATTGAAAAACGTATTGTATGAATCCACTCATATCAAATATTCAGAAAAGACAAATCTATAGAAACAGAAAATAGGTTAGCAGATCACTGAGGCATGGGGTAGGAGTGGGAGGTGACTGCAAATGTACAGGATTGATCTCACTGGGGTGAAAGAAATGTTCTAAAATTGGACTGTGGTGATCCTTTGACTGTCCATCTAAAACAAGTGAATTTTATGCTATGTAAATTATATCTCAACAAAGTTGTTAAAAAAGAAAAAAAAAAAAAAAAGATGTATCTAATAAAGATCAAGGATCCAGAATATATAAAGAACTTCTACAACATTAACAATAAAAAGACAAAAAATGCACAAAGGACGTGGAGTTTTCCAAAGAAGATATATACACGTATATACATGAAATGATGCTCAATATCATTAGGCATTAAGGTAATACAAATCCAACCACAATGAGATATCACTTCACACCCACTAGGATGGCTACAATAAAAAAGACAGACAGTATCAGGTGTTGGCAAGAATGTGGAGAGAGTAGAGCCTCGTGCATTGCTGGTGAGAATGTAGGGTGGTAGTCTGGCAGTTCCTCTAAAGGTTAGACAAGGAGTTATCATGTGACCTAGAAACTCCACTCCGAGGTATGTACCCAAGAGAATAAAAAACATATGTTCACAAATGTTCATAACAGCATTATTCATAATAGCCAAAAAGTGGAAACAACTCAAATGTCTATCAACTGATGAACAGATAAGCAAGTGTGATTATGTCCATCAATGGAATATTATTCAGTCATAGAAGAGAGTGAAATACTAATGCATGGTACATCATAAATGGGCCTTTGAGGGCACAGGGCTGGGGTGGAGGGCCTCAGACACAAAAGACCCATACAGCATAATTCCATTTTTATGAAACATCCAGAATAGGCAGATACAGCCATGGAGAAGGAAAGTAGATTAGTGGTTGCGGCGGGCTGGCAGAAAGGGAGAATGGAGATGACTGTCAATGGATACAGAGTTTCTATTTGGGGTGATGAAAATGGTCTGGAATTAGTTGGTGGTGATGGTTGCATAGCCTTGTAAGTATACTAAAAACTAATGAACTGGACACTTAAAAAGGGTGAATTTTATGGCATGTGAATTATATCTCAATTTTTTAAAAAGAGCTTATCATGGCATGTATTTGCTAACTATAAAAATGAAGCTAAATAGGGGAAATATCAAAAAGAAGGTCTTTGAAAAACAAGAGGCATATATATACTTAGATAATGCTCTGGACCACCACTCATCTGTCAGTCTGCTGTACTGTGGCGGCTTGCGTGTTGCAGTGATGCTGGAAGCTATGCCACCCGTATTTCAAATACCAGCAGGGTCATCCATGGTGGACAGGTTTCAGCAGAGCTTCCAGACGAAGACAGACCAGGAAGAAGGATCTGATGGTATACTTCTGGAAAAACTGGCAAGGGAAAACCTTATAAATAGCAGTGGAACATTGTCTGATACAGTGCTGGAAGATGGGCCCCTCAGGTTGGAAGGCACTCAAAATATGACAGTAGAAGAGTTGCCTCCTCAAAGTGGAAATGGATCTTGCTGACATGGATGGAGTAAAGCTTTCGGGACCTTCATTTGCTGATGTGGCACAACTCAAAATGAGAAGAAAGAGCTGCAAACATCCATTAATGATTGGAACATGGAACGAACAAAGTATGAATCTAGGAAAACTATAAGTCATCAAAAAAAATGGAACTCATAAAGATCGATGTCTTAGGCTTACTGAGCTAAAATGGACTGTTACTGGCCATTCTGAAATGGACAACCATATGGTCTACTATGCCAGGAAAGACAAATTGAAGAGGAATGGCATTGCATTCATCTTCAAAAAGAACATTTCAAGATCCATCCTGAAGTATAATGCTGTCAGTGATAGGATAATGTCCATATGCCTACATGGAAGACCAATTAACACAACTATTATTCAAATTTACACACCAATCACTAAGGCCAAAGATGAAGAAATTGAAGATTTTTACCAACTTCTGCAGTCTGAATTAATCAAACATGCAATCAACATGCACTGATAATTACTGGTGATTGGAATGCGAAAGTTGGAAACAAAGGAGAAGGATCAGTGGCTGGAAAATATGGCCTTGGTGATAGAAATGATGCTGGAGATCATATGATACAATTCTGCAAGACCAATGATTTCACTGCAAATACTTTTTTTCAACAACATAAAAGGTGACTATATACATGGACCTTGCCAGATAGATAAACAGGAATCAAATTGACTACATTTGTGGAAAGAAATGATGCAGAAGCTCAATATCATCAGTCAGAACAAGGCCAGGGGCAGACTGGAGAACAGACCACCAACTGCTCATCTGCAAGTTCAAGTTGAAGCTGAAGAAAATTAAAACAAGTGTGCAAGAGTCAAAATACAACCTTCAGTATATCCCACCTGAATTTAGAGACCATCTCAAGAATAGATTTGATGCATTCAACACTAATGACTGAAGACCGAGAACTGAAAAACAACCTTCAATATATCCCACCTGTACTTAGAGACCATCTCAAGAATAGATTTGAT